TTTAATTTTTTTTTTCAACGTTTATTTATTTTTGGGACAGAGAGAGAGAGACAGAGCATGAACGGGAGAGGGGCAGAGAGAGAGGGAGACACAGAATCGGAAACAGGCTCCAGGCTCTGAGCCATCAGCCCAGAGCCTGACGTGGGGCTCGAACTCACGGACCGCGAGATCGTGACCTGGCTGAAGTCGGACGCTTAACCGACTGCGCCACCCAGGCGCCCCATGGTGTCGTTTTTGTCCCTGCTTCCTCAACATCTGCCAAGAGTTCCTTTGGACTTGCGCGTCTTATGGTCAGTCTGTTTGGTGTTCAGCCTCTCTTCCATGAGAGCTTGTCTGTGTGGAAGTGATATATGGGTTGGTGTAGGGGAGGGGGAATGATGAAATAGTGTCCAGTTCTCATTGTTTCACATGTTAAATGCCCTTTCTCCAACATACAGCGAACTTGTGAATATCAGTCTGAAGGGGACACTGGGATAACAAAGCCTGCTCAGGACATGGCATTATGGCCACCATGTGGCTTAAATGGATTTCTAATGAAATAAAAGTTGAGTATATATTTCTACTTTGTGTCATGTTGACTTCTGCCCTTGAAATTAGTGGTAGGGAAGGGTCTTAATTCCTAGATCTGGGGTTTGACATCTTAAAAACTTAGAAGCAGAAAAGTACTTAAAACACTGTTTAAAACATGAGGTAAATACACCTGGATTTGGAGGCCAGGGCAGTTGTGTCTGCCTCATATCAACAAGTCTTCTGATCCTGGGCCAAGAATATTCCAGTATTCTCTTGACTCTCCATTTCTAAAGAAAAATGATTATTCTAGCACCCTCGCCTTCTGTCTCTGGGAGAAGGAGACCGTCAGTCCATTAGGCCTTGGTTTTTTCCTTCTGCACTGCTGAAGTAAGGAGGGCTCAACTCTGTTCTCCAAGTCATTTGGTAAAATGCCCACATCTCACAACAGTTGTTTCTGTTCACTCCCAGATCTCTGCAGCGTGGCTTTTATACAGAAATGGAGAGCTATTTTTTTTCTACTTGTATCCACCACTCCTCCATGTTCAGGTGCATTCACTCCTCTGTCCCTCGTAATATAGATCCATTCACAGTCTCTTGATTTGTGTTATTTTATGTAAGGTGAGTTTGATTTACTTTTGCCCAAGGGTAAGACTGGAATATGGTCTTCTCTGCTGAACTACTTTTGCTTCCTGGGTTGTTCTGAAGCTTAAGTGCCACACTCTAGAAGCTAGTGGTTTGGACATCACTTTTTTTTAATTATTATTATTTTTCAAATTATTTTTTAAATGTTTTATTTATTTTTTAAGACAGAGACAGAGCATAAGTGGGGATGGGGCAGAGAGAGAGGGAGACAGAATCTGAAGCAGGCGCCGGGCTCTGAGCTGTCAGCACAGAGCCCAATGTGGGGCTCGGACTCACGAACTGTGAGATCATGACCTGAGCCGAAGCCGGACACTCAACCGACTGAGCCACCTGGGTGCCCCTGGACGTCACTTCTATTTATTGCACGGTGGTGGTCACTGGTGCTATTTACCAAGTATTTCCAGCTTCCCACCTTCTGGGCGCATAGTACGATTGGGCTCCCTGATCCTTTGTGGATGGCTGGGAATATGTGAACTTGTGTTTCAGCAGCATAGTACAATCAAAACTATAGTTGGTTTTTTGTCTCTGATTTCAGGCACTTTCATGTGCCAGTAGTTTTCCTAGACAGATGTCTTAAATTTGATATATTTTCTTATTCTCACATCTCTCCGACTCATTTGGTATGTTTCAAATTTTAAGTGGGAGAGTTGCATTTTAAGTCTCTTCCCCAAGCGGTTTAACTGCAATGATTTACAGGGTGCCACAACCTTTGAGGTCTTTGCTCTAAGACAGGTGGATCTACTTGGAGGTTTTAGGTTTTAACAACAGATATGATGGTCATACCACTGTTACAGTCTTTCCTACGAGTAGGGTCACCTGCTGTCCCCACTTGCTTGGCAGAGGGGTTTTCTGGGGTGTAGTACTTATCAGAGCTAAAACTGGGACAGGTATAGGTAAACCTGGTCAAGGCAATTAGATGGGT